AGCGAGCCTCTCCTCCGGTGGCGAGTGTCATGAACCAGGGCGTCCCGGGGAGCCGCGGGGAGAGCGAGCAGAGATAGCGGCCGCGCGGCCTCCGGCCCTCGCCGCCTCCTCCCCCCCGCGTCCCCGGTCCCTCGTGCTCTTCCCCGAGCCTCCTCGGGCGCCGCCGCTATGGCCACCCTCCTCCGCAGCAAGCTGTCCAACGTGGCCACGTCCGTGTCCAACAAGTCCCAGGCCAAGGTGAGCGGCATGTTCGCCAGGATGGGCTTTCAAGCGGCCACGGATGAGGAGGCGGTGGGCTTCGCGCATTGCGACGACCTCGACTATGAGCACCGCCAGGGCCTGCAGATGGACATCCTGAAAGCCGAAGGAGAAGGAGAGCCCGGCGGGGACGACAGCGCCGAGTCGCCCGTCGAGGGAGACATCCATTACCAGCGCGGCGACGGCGCGCCGCTGCCGCCCTCGGGCTCCAAGGACCAGGCCTTAGGGGCTGGTGGCGAGTTCGGGGGCCAAGACAAACCCAAGATCACAGCGTGGGAGGCGGGCTGGAACGTGACCAACGCCATCCAGGTGAGCGCAGGGCGCGCAGTCCTACGGCGGGATTCCCAGCTCCGCTGACCGCCCCCCAACCCACCCTCCAACCCCATGCGCAGGACACAGCCCAGAACGGAGACTCCGTGGGATCATGGCCCTGGGTTCCCGCCGGAACCCATCCCTCCCAACCCTGCGAGGGCAAGGGAGGTGTCTCGGCCCTTGGTCACGTCCCCTTCCCAAGACCCTAACTGCAGGACCGCGAGGGGGCTGAGGTGCAGCTAGAGATACCTGTCTGGGACCCAGCAAAACTGAGAAAGAACAGGAAACCTGGCGTGGGTGGGGGGCGAAGGGGAGATACTGGGGAGGGAGAGGGTTGAGAGAGAAAGAAAATCAGGATTCCAGGCACGGTGTGGCTGGGTCTCCGGAATGGACTCACAGCTGCATTTTCAGGAGGAAATTGCTGAGCTGGGAGTCTCCTCCCCCAGACACACGCACAGACACGAGCACACGCGTACATAAGCAGACACCCCGTGCCACAGCCCCCCCTCCCAGCAGCACACGCGCACGCACGGGCGCCCCCGAGATGATTCTATATTTACACCATGTAACTGTCCCCACAAGCGCTCGTCACAGAATCGCATACCAATGCGTAACACACACACACACACACACACACACACACTTTTGACGATAACGCTCCTGCAGGAACACTTAGACTCTTGCACGCGGGGCCCAGCCTGCACCGTCAGGGGCAGCAGGGGCACAAGCACTCCCTGCGCACACTCACCCCTCTCGCCTGAAACCCCAGATGCACCCCAGGAGGCAGCCACACGGAGACCTGTCCAGGGTTCCCAGCCCCTCCCCACCCCCATCCCCGCTCGGCGGAATTCTGCCAGGAGCGGGTTTGGAGTCCGCATAAAGACCGCTAGAGCAGGCTGGGCCCGGCAGGCTGCGGCTCCCGGTGCAGAGGAGGCCGAGGCCTTAGGCGCCCCGGGGGCCTTGCGGCTCCCCCCCCCCCCATGCCCTAGGAGCACACAGTCGTTGGGGTATGGGACGTAGGTCTCCCAAGAGCGGAAGGAAATGACGGGGATGTTAATACCCCAGACTGGGTGGGGGGCCTCTGCCGGGTACTGCAAATGGGACAACCGACTGAGGCGCCTCTACCTTCAGGACCCACGAGAGGGCCACGCAGGGCCAGGGATGGAGGGCAGCACTCGCTTTCGTTGCCATCCACGGGGTGGTCCGGGCGCCTTAGCGGGGCCGCGTTTGGTAGGCACAGGGGGAGGTCAGGGCGGGAGGCTGGAGGTCCTTAGGCCTGCAAGGCCCTGGATTTCGTTAGCTTTGATTCCCCTAAACTCTAAACTCTCCTTCTAAACTCTCCTTCGCATCCGTCCAGCCCTCCGGATCCCTGGGGCCCTAGATCTCTCAGGCTGCTTCTGGATTTTCACTCAGTCCCGCCCCCGCTCCCCACCCCCTTAGACCCCACCAATTGCTTGCTTCCACCACCCAATTAAATCCCCTTCTCTTAGACCCAACCCTACTCAGTCTGCCTCTTAGACGCCTCTCTACCAAAGCTCCTCTCTCCCTCCGCTAACAGCCCCCACTGTAAATTGGGCACGCTCCCGAATCCGCAGCCTCCAGGAGACTCTGCCCCACCCTCAGGCCTTTTCCTGCCTGACCCCCTTCTTACCGTCCGCTGCCTCCTTCCCGTTTCCTTCACTGGGGCTCGAGACACTGGTGTTTCCCCCATTAGCACCCATGCCAGCCCCAACTGAAATCCCTTCCTTTGTGTCCAGCCCTCTAGCCCCTTTCCCCATGTCCTCTTCTGTCCACTGGCTCGAGACCTCCCCCTGGGCCCCATTCCCAGGAACGGGTTTCAAATGTCTCCACATTTCCTTTCCCTCCCGGTAGCTTTGCCGACCCCTAGCTCCCTTTGTACCTCGCAGAAAGAGGTGCACCTTTTCTTTACCGCCTGCCCCTCCCTCCGGATCTGCTTCAGCTCCCAGACTCCGCCCCCTACAAACCCGTCAACCTGATTCCAAAGGAAACCAAACCAATTCGCCTGGACCCTTTACGACATTATAGATCTGCCAGTAAATCTGGGAGGCCCATTACCACCCTTTCGCCCTGACAAGCCACTCGTGGCTTCCAACCACCGTCCTCTCCGAATAGCAGTCAACCACTTTAACCATTGTGTCACCTTGGGCTTCTGTCCTTAGTCCAGCCTTACGCCTTCCTTCCCCAGAAGCCTATGTCCAGCCCCCACTACCTGGAGTGCTGCCTTCCGGCTGGAGACTTGAATCTCAACCCCCCCCCCCTCACCCCACCCCAGTTTCCGAAGTGGCGTCCGCTGAACGCCCTCGTCTGGTTGCCTCTCCGCTCCGCAGGGCATGTTCGTGCTGGGCCTGCCCTACGCCATCCTGCACGGCGGCTACCTGGGCTTGTTCCTCATCATCTTCGCCGCCGTGGTCTGCTGCTACACGGGCAAGATCCTCATCGCGTGCCTGTACGAGGAGAACGAGGACGGCGAGGTGGTGCGCGTGCGGGACTCGTACGTGGCCATCGCCAATGCGTGCTGCGCACCGCGCTTCCCCACGCTGGGCGGCCGCGTGGTGAACGTGGCGCAGATCATCGAGCTGGTCATGACGTGCATCCTCTACGTGGTGGTGAGCGGCAACCTCATGTACAACAGCTTCCCGGGGCTGCCGGTGTCGCAGAAGTCCTGGTCCATCATCGCCACCGCCGTGCTGCTGCCCTGCGCCTTCCTCAAGAACCTCAAGGCCGTGTCCAAGTTCAGCCTGCTGTGCACCCTGGCCCACTTTGTCATCAACATCCTGGTCATCGCCTACTGCCTCTCGCGGGCGCGCGACTGGGCCTGGGAGAAGGTCAAGTTCTACATTGACGTCAAGAAGTTCCCCATCTCCATTGGCATCATCGTGTTCAGTTACACGTCACAGATCTTCCTGCCGTCGCTCGAGGGCAACATGCAGCAACCCAGCGAGTTCCACTGCATGATGAACTGGACACACATCGCCGCCTGCGTGCTCAAGGGCCTCTTCGCGCTCGTCGCCTACCTCACCTGGGCCGACGACACCAAAGAGGTCATCACGGATAACCTGCCTGGCTCCATCCGCGCCGTCGTCAACCTCTTCCTGGTGGCCAAGGCGCTCTTGTCCTACCCGCTGCCTTTCTTCGCTGCCGTAGAGGTGCTGGAGAAGTCGCTCTTCCAGGAGGGCAGCCGCGCCTTCTTCCCCGCCTGCTACGCCGGTGACGGGCGCCTCAAGTCGTGGGGGCTGACGCTGCGCTGCGGGCTCGTCGTCTTCACGCTGCTCATGGCCATCTACGTGCCGCACTTCGCGCTGCTCATGGGTCTCACAGGCAGCCTCACCGGCGCCGGCCTCTGCTTCCTGCTGCCCAGCCTCTTCCACCTGCGCCTGCTCTGGCGCAAGCTGCTCTGGCACCAGGTCTTCTTCGACGTCGCCATCTTCGTCATCGGCGGCATCTGCAGCGTGTCCGGCTTCATACACTCTCTGGAAGGTCTCATTGAGGCCTACCGAACCAACGCCGAGGACTAGGGCGGGAGGGCCACCCCCCAGCCCCCAGCCGTGCCCCCCGCCCCCCATGCTCTCTCGAAGTCCTCCTGCCTTCCTGCTCCTCCCCTCCCCAGCTCCGTGCGCCCTGCCGCCGCGCTTGGGAAGCCAAGCTATCAACATCTCTGGTTCCTAGTTTCTGATTCTTCGGGGAAGGGGGGTGGGGGATGGGAGTCCACGATCCATCCCGTCTGCGTTTCTGTTGTTCTTTCTTTTCCACGCCGCCCTGGTTTGGGGGAGGCTGCGGTGGGGCGCATTGGTGGGTCGAGTTTTCAGTCCCTCTGGGAGGCCCCCTGGCTCCGACGCTTAGGGCCCCAGCCACGGTTGGGGGTAGGAAGGGAGAAAGAGGGCAGGTACGGGAACTTGACCTTGGAGGGGGAGGGTGTATTTCAGAGCTATCCACTGCTCGGATTCTGCCATGTCCAGCCATCTCCAGCAAGAGCGCTTCCCTTTCCGGAGACATTTCCACCCTGCAGCGGGAAAGGCTAGCCGGGAAGTCCCATTTCGGGCGGGCGAGTTCCTTCGGTGAATCAGAGAGGCTGGGAGACGAGCCAGCCGCGGCGGAGCCGGCTTGCCTGCAGGTTTTCAGGAATCCAAACTCATCTTGTGCAATTTATCAGATTGTGGAACTGTTCTGTGCGTGTGGTGTGCTCGTGGTGAATACGATGAAATGTATATCAGAAAAAAAATCTATCTCTAACTTAGAGTGCGGTGCATAATTACATCCGCAAATAAAGAAGAAACCAAGGCGTGCGTGCAGCAGCATCCTCTGTGGGTTCTGCGGGTTCTCACCAGCCAGGGATTCCCGGGCGCTGGGGGTAAGGGCGGGCGCCGGGCCCACGTAGGAGGGCGGGGCCGCAGTCAGTGCCCAGAGCGTCAGGAGAGAACTCCAAGGTGTGGTGGGTACCTCGGCATGCAGAAGGCAGCACCCGAGGTATCTGGGGATACCGGGAGGGAACCGGTGGCGGCGGAGTTGTTTCCGGGAGGTAGCGCTTGTGGCGCACAAGGTTTTTCTAAAGCTTACCTCGGAGTCAGATTCATCCGAGAATTCGGTTGCCAGACTTCGAGTTCAAGTTTAAGATTACACTAAATATGCTTTTATGTTCAGAACATTACAAGTGTGTTCAATACATGCAAGAGGGCCTCCGAAGGCTCGTGAACATAGGGACTTAAGACGATAGACTTCCCAGGCACATTCTAAAACAGCGGTCCTCAAACTGTGGGTCGCGGCCCCTTTGAAGGTCGACCGACCCTTTCGCAGGGGTCACCTGATTCATAACAGTAGCAAAATGACAGTGATAGAGTAGCAACGAAAAATGATTTTATGACTGGGGGGTCACCCCAACATGAGGAATTGTCTTAAAGGGTCCCTCATTAGGAAGGTTGAGAATCACTGTTCTAAAAGCTCCTCCTACGTGTAGACAGCATGGGGGGATGGGGAGAGGGGCCAGGGCTGTGCAGAGCGCAGGTGACAAGCTAGCTCTGCTCCCATGGAGTTTACAGGTGACACCAACAGGATACTCAGAAACCCACGAAGGGACGCAGGCTGGAAAACCAGTAAGTCGTCAGCAGCCGGCCCAGGGCCAGGCCAGTCTGCCCCGCATGCGCCTCTCACCCCCTACACTCGCCCCTGGAGTCTGAGCTGGCTGAGCAGAGCTACTGCCAAAAGGTCTGACTGCTTAGAACCCCCAGTCCCCAGTCATTTGGGCCCCAACCTACCTTTGCCTGCGCAGCCCCTTTGAAAACGTGTGGACCTGAACGCTTCAGGGGGCCACCCCTTCTTCTTGGGACTAC